CAAGAAGTTCTGTGAAGGTGTTGGTCTTCGACACTGAACGCTCTTCCGTAGGTACAGATTGAGTGGGAGTGTTGAACTTGGACTTATCCGGTCCGGACTACACGAGGCTATGCGTCTCCTAGCGCTTAGCTGTAGTCGCTTATGTAGTATGTTACCATATTTGGGACTCTCTGCTCGTGTACTATAGCTATGCTTCCGGACTCTTCTGGTACTGTCTAGGACAATCCGTACTACTCCAGAACGGTCTAGACAGGTCTATGCCTTACTCATCTCTTACTCATCCTATGGTGCGATATGTTGCAATTCTTTTGTCATTGTATTATTCATCGCACTATGGTACATGTGACTAACCACTCTTCGATTAGTCATGGACACTTCTCTGTAGTATATAAGGACTTCAGATTGCGTCCTCCCTCTTCAGTCTTTCCTTACTGACTGAAGAGTGAGTACTTCGTTATATCTATCTCTAACTTGTAGTTACTTACTTAATCTTTGTAGTCTTGCTTTGACTCTAGGTACAGTTGGTTACTGCAATATAGTCTTTCCTTACTGACTGAAGATCTTGCTTCGACTCTAGTCGGATCTAATCCTTGTCTTCACAGCCCCGAGTTTATCAAACGTATTGGGAATGATCTTCGGAAGCCCACCGGTCGTCCCTGAAGAATGAAAGAGCACTGCGATGTCGTCTGGACCAACTGAGACCTCGGGTTCTGAGAGCTTGAGATCTTGCGCTCGACCACCCGAGAGCACCTTGACAACGAGTTGCGAGAGCTCATCATAATCCAAAGAGCGGTAAACAATAATGGTAGTGGTAGCTGATGCGGCGGAAGCGGCGGGCAGATAGGTCTCATCTACAATGAGAGCCTTTCCGCCACTCTTAAGTAAGAGGTCGAGGACGATAGAGACGTTGCCGAAGTATCCGCCGAAGAACTGTGGCGTATACCCGAGAGCTGACACGGCAATGGAATTGATGAGATCGGACAACTTAGATCCAGTAAGCCTAAGAGAACGTATTTGTGTGGGTTTCAAAACAAATCAGGGTGGCAAATACAAGAGCTCACCAAAAGCCCACAACATCGGACGGTCTAATATCCAAGGAAGCCAAGACTGGCACCCAGTGTGCTCGCGCAACAGCTATGCGCTCTTCAAGTTCCCGATTGGGGACGCTGGCCCAGGCATCGTCTCTTCCATTGTAAGGACGGAATACCAGGGCGTCGGCATGTGCATTGAAGGAAGGAATTAGGAGGGAAACATAGTGATGTGTAGAAGTGCGCGACATGGGAGGGATTCAAGTCAATAAAGCTTAGGATGGGGGTGCTCAACGGATGCCACCCTCGCGCTATCTGACTCAACTTAAGACGTGAGCATGGGCTGGACATGACCTCTGGCACTGCTGCATAAGGACTCTAATAGAAACCGACTTCTCCGAAGCTCACTATGTAACCTATTGTTGTCAACTCCTAGACGAGGTGAGCATCAGACATGGCAGTGTCTTCCTTAGATTCCGGGCCGCACCTCTAGTAATCCAGGAAGTTTGATGGCGCTGGACTGGGCGGTCATTCACCTGGGTATCCGGGACACCAGAAGTGCGATGTCTTGATCCGATACGTTCTGATACTCCCGGGCGGTACAGTTCTTCAGCGCACATTTAATATTCTCCACGAGTATGTGCCCTGAGACGAGCTTGCAGTAGTTAAGCCTACACCCATTCATATCAAGCTTAACGGTAGACAACCTAACCTTTTACTCATGTTGTCCGAGGAGCCCTCTCAGGATTGTAACCCAAAGTTGGCGCAGTAGTCCTCTGTGAGAACCAATGTGATCTTGCTACATCCATGAATAGATCTGCTTTGGCGAAAGTGAATGCCGTGCCTGGCATGCGCCTGGAAAATGGGTGAAGGAGTGCGCCATTATAGCTCGGGAAAGTATAAAGGCTACTGGTGCATGCCGCAGTATTGGCGAATCACGGACTTATGAGCTGCATTCACGGCTACTTCGAACTTACTAGGCTGCACAAACCTTTCTTGGGTAACACACTCTTGTTCTGGCCTTGTGGTATGTAAGATTTCTATTTCATGCCAAGCCGCGCATTGCTGCTAACATGCCAACAGCCTGGGGATTGACGATTGCAGCCCGTGTAGTGGCATTGCCGCTAGCGTGTTTTACTACTACCCTTCTTCTATTTGGCCTAGGGTCTATGCTACTGCATAGTGCCGCATGTGTTCTCAATGATATTTGTGATGTCAAATTTGATCGTCAGATTGGTCAGTAACAGGCCATGCCAGTCAGACATACATACGTGAAATGAGAGGATACTGATTGTTGCTATACACAGCTAGGACGAAGGACAGGTCTCTACCTGCTGGAAAAGTCTCGTTATCTGGGGCTTGGACACTTTGTTGTGCACTTCTGCTATCTCTGTTGTACCTCCTTTCCTACTGTAACCCTTTGAGGTGAGGTTTCTTCCGATTCCCGCATACCGAAGCTAAATTGGATTGAACTCGCAAGCTTCTCGCTGGGCGCATTGGGCATCTTTCCGCTCTCCGCCCTGTATCCCTTGATGAAACGATGGACATGGTGGCCTCAAGCTTGGCTCGGTATGTCCTTAGTCCTCTCTCGAAGAATGATCTATTTTCTATGAGTATCATAGGTCTTACATTTGGTTGGGGTATACCTGTGGCATGGACAACAATTACTGGGATGTTCCCTCCTATCCCGGTCTGGGTGCTTTATGCCGGCGGTGTCTGGTACGTACCTCACGTGTTTCTACTATAAAGTCTTTCACTCAGTACCTTCCCTACACCAGCTGGACCATAATCTTTGACACCATCTACGCATGCCAGGATTGGGCAGACAATAGTCGTGTCGGTGTCAGGTCAACCGCCTTGCTATTTGGGAAACACACGCGCCCAGCATTGGTGTCAATAGCGACAATCATGTTGCTATGCCTTGTCTGTGCCGGATATCAGCTTCGTTTGGGTGTAGGCTTCTCAATCCTCTTGTGTGGAGGTACACTGGTCCATATGATGTGGCAAGTTACAACGTGGGATGAGGCGGACCCTAAAGATCACCACGCAAAATTTAAAGTGAGTTCTTGATTACTGTCTCATGTGTATCTGTTACGACTGACTGTCGAGCGAGTAAGTGGAGACGAGCGAGGCAGGCAGGAGCGCCGACGAGCTCTGATCGCAGTGAGACTGGAGCGGAGCTCAACAGGCAGGACTGGAGACAAGTAGTGTATTGAGCGAAGTATCTACAGAGCGAAATACACGATGGCTTACCTGGAGACAAGAGGTCGAAACTAGAGTCTCCAGGTAGCAAGGGATCCAGCTATATACAAGGAACGAACAATGGGCGCTAGAGAACAATAGCGTCGCCATGGGTACGGAGTACAAGGGGTGTAGGACAATAGCGGACGTGGGAACAAAGGGAGCTATTGTCCGTGTGTGGACAAAGGGAAACCGTAGCGAGTAGTGAACAATAAGGAAACGTACGAGGCAGTGGTCCGAATCGAAAAGGAAACATAGCGCCGTGAGGGCGGTTCGTGACAG